CAGCCTGTGATCTTCCTTCATTCTGTATCATTGCATGTGGCTACGTGAGTCTGAAGAGGGGCTTATGGACTAGGTCCAGACTTATGGACTTGAGTTGGACTAGGCTGGGATGTTTTCCTGATAGACAGTTACTTCTTGATATAAATCTCTTTCTTACACCTATATTAACATCATTGGATTTGTTTCTCTAGGCAACCCAACTTAACAAAACCCTCTCAAGAACAGAGCCTAACACACATGACTTGGGTCAGGTGCACCTTAGTCTTCCAAGTGACATCTTTGGTCTTTAATACTGTAGAGGGGTCTTCTGCAACGGATTTGACCAAGACAATAGGTTATTTGATTTCTTGACTGCTGCTTTCATGAACGCCGATAACAGATCCAAACAAGATGAAATCCTTGACAACTTTAGTATTTTCTCCAATTCTCATGATGTTGGTCCAGCATGAGACCAACAGCTGAGATCTAAGGATTTTGGTTTTCTCTACCTTGAGGTGTACTTCACACTCAGGCTGCAGTCCTTGATCTTCATCAGCAAAATAGATGCCTATTTTCATCAGCAAGTGCTTCAAATCCTCCTTGCTTTCAGCAAGCCAGGTATGTCATCTGCATAGCTCGTTAATAAGTCTTCCTCCAACCTTGATGCTGCATTCTTCCTCACACAGGCCAGCTTCTTTGAGTATTTGCTCAGCAAACAAATTGGATACGTATGGTGAAGGGCTACAATCATGACACATATACTTCTTGATTTTAAACCATGTAGCATTCCCTTGTTCTATGTGCACAACTTCTTCTTGATCCAGGTACAACTTCCGCATGAACTCAATGAAGCGTTCCGGCATTCCCAGTCTTCTCAAGGCTGTCCATGGTTTGTTATGATCCACACAGTCCAATGACTTTGCATAGTCAATAAAACACAACGAAGCATCTTTCTGATAGTCCCTGCTTTCAGACAAGAGTCGTCTGACATTAGCAGTGACATCCCTTGTACCACATCTCTTCTGAGTCCAGCTTGAATTTCTGGCAGCTCCCTGTGGATGTACTACCGTAACCAATGTTGAAGGACCTTCAGCAAAACTTCGCTTGCATGTGATATAAATTATACTGTTCGGCCATTTCTGCATTCTGTTGGGCCACCTTTTTGGGGAATTGGTACAAATATGGATTGATCTCTTCCAGTCAGTTGGCTAGGCAGCTATTTTCCCAATTTCCCAGCATAGACGAGTGAATACTCCCAGTGCTGCTCCATCAGCTTGTTTAAACATGTCGACTGGTATTCCAACGATTCCAGGAGCCTTATACTAATTCCATTCAATGGGGAAAGAAGCGTCTCTTCAATAAATGGTGCTGGGAAAAATAGGATTTCCACATGCAGAAAAATGAACCTGGATCCATGCTGACGCCACACACAAAAACCAGTTGAAGATAGTTTGAGGCCCTAAATGTGAAAACCCAAACTACAAAATTCTTAAGACAGAGGAGTGGGGAAGGTGTATAGCCTAATTTTAACACTGCATTCACAAGACAACACAAGCATGAGCAGGGTGCAATAGGATCATGGGACACGTGAAGGTTGCCAGTTGGCGCAGAGTAGCTCTGGGCATGCGCGGTGGTGCTGGGATGGGTTCCTCCTCGTCTTCCTCTGCGGCCCGTTTGGGTCATGTGGATCACCCGGTGCAGCATTTCATCAAGGTGAAGGAGACGCAGAAGCGTGGACAAGCCTGGGCCAAAGGTACACCATTGGGCGGAGGCCTGTTTTGTGAATTGTGTTGAGCACTTCGATACGAGCCAGCTCACCTGGAATCAACTGGAACAGACCCAGAAACCTAAACCAGTCTTCTCAGAAAGCCTTTCTGACTGACCTCAGCTTTACCTCTCTGGAGGAGGAATGTAGCTCAGGAAACGAAGAGCTGTTTATGAAGACAAGGCGATGGGGGATTACTGGTTTCCACCTTTTCTCACTTTGGGGATATTCGGTCACCTGAGAATGAACAAAGACTGGGTGTGTATGTGTGGTTTGATGACCTTATATGTATTTGGTTGTGGGATTTTTTGTTTTTTAAGCTAAATAAGGGTAAAACTCTACTAGAATGTATATGATGGTATGTGGGTCTGTGCTTTTTCTCAAAAGTGCCACTAACTGGTTCCTGTCATTTGAGCGTGGAACAGCTTCTACAGTCTGGCAGAGGGCCCACGTAGGTTTTAAAAAATCTGCCATTTGTTGTATGGGTTCATTTCAGATTTCTGGGGAAACAGACTCATTTGTGTCAAAAAGGACAGCCATGGGGGTGGGGGTGAGTTTGCCTATAGCGGCATGTCTCCTTATCTAGTGTTTGTCAGTACCGGCGAAAAACATATGGAGCTTTCAGACTGTGCACATCAGCTGTCCTGATATTGCCCATCAAAGACCTGTGTGGTCTCTGGAGGCACTACAAGTAGCTTGAGAGTCAAGAGGCCTTTGTTTATAAAGGAACCAAGTCAAAGAATACAATTCTCATTTCTAGACAAGGAAGAATTTCACTTTCCCTGTATTTCAGGACACAAAAAATTTCAAAGATATGCCTAATTAGTTCTAAAGATTTAGGCCAATCAGAAACTAACAGTTTCAGAGAGAGGGGTATGTGTATTGTTAATCATCATAGATTCCGGGGCTGTTATATAATCTCCTCTTGTGAAGAGCTGGAAGTCCAGCCTGTCAATCAGGTTGCAGCTTGATGACCTCATTTGGAGGCACGATGGAGATAAATAACTCACTGGAGGCCAGACACACACTCTCTCTGCCACACATTTCTATTGATAAGCTACATAAGCTATTGTGGGGAACAGAAGGATTTCTCTTAAGTTGTCTCCCCAAAATATGTACCAAACTTAGCTGCTTTAGCGTGACTGTTCTTTAGGCAGCGAAAGTAGGTCAGAGGTTATTCTCCTTAACATTGGCCATCTGTAGTGGCTAGACTGTTAGTCTGACTCACCCTGAATAAGACCCACTCCCTTCTGATAAGGATAATGGTGGTCTATTCACTTGCAAGAGATACCAGAGAGGGCAAACCCGCCCAAGGGTGACCAAGGTTAGTTAGCCATTATCAGCTGTCTAGATCAAGCAGACACCACTGTCTATTCCACAACCAATGTGGACACACCCCTAGGTGATTCCTCTCCTATTGATTGTATTGCCTATGTTAATATCCCTCCTGGTGACTCAGGTTATTGTCCACTATCAGGGAACTTGCATGCCTCCCAGAATAGTAATTGTCTGTTTTTATTATGTGAGACGTTAGAGTGATCAAACTTGTTCTAGAATGAATTGTATTGCCCCTTTCTGTGATGTATGACTCCATGACGCGTGGTTAGCAATAAATAAGGAGGCTCCCTGGTTCTCGAGAGGGTGGCTGGAGAAGGTGACTAAGGAGGACGAAGCAGCGGCTTCTTCTCTGATGGCTAAGCCCCCTCCACGAGGACCACCAAGCCGGGTTGAGGTGAGATATGCTACCACGAATTGCGTCTGACTCCATTACTTGACTCTATCCTTTAACTCTCATGCTCTCTATGACTTTACTATAATCTACTTATTATCGCTGTACAATTGCGCCTACCGAACCTGTGATGTTTTGTGGGGTTCCCTCTTACCCTTAACCCCACAAGCTATGCGGATGGAGCCCAACCCCTGGAGCTGGAGGCGCTATGTGGAGACCCCTAGCAGCACTGAGATGCTTCCACCGTCACTGGATCCACAAGACTTTCCGCCCACTGTTCTGTGATCTTCCTGCATTCAACATCATTGCCTGGGTTGCCTGAGTCTGAAGATGAATTTGTTGATTTGTATCAGATGTATGGGTTAATCTTGGACTTATGATCTTGATCTGGACTGGGCTGGGATGTTTTCTCAATATACAATTAAGCTCTTTCTTAGACACAGATAAGTGTCTCTAATTTTGTTTCTCTAATTAACCCAAACTAACACAGATTCCATTTGTTGCATTCTTTTGATTCCTCAAATAAAAAGCTAAATGATTTGGGGGGGAAAAGAAAGAAAACTAGAATCATGGAATCTCGTCAAAATGAAATGTGTCCGCACATCAAAGGGCTTTATCAACAAAGTGAGGGAACCGTTTACAGATAGCGGGACATTTTTTCAGAGCCACATGTCTGGTTAGGGTCTTATCCCCCAAAGCTCCCACCCTTCCCTGGCTGCTCTGAGAATTCAATCAACTACTCTCACGTCGATTTTAGAACAAGGTTTTCAGTTGTTTCCCTCTGTCGGTGGACTGAGAGCTACCCTGGACGACCAGAGCAGACCACCACCCGCGGGCTGCGAGGCTGTCTATCTGTAAGGAAGCAGAAAACGCCATCACGCTCCTTCAGAGTGGCTGATGGGTTCCAACCGTTGACTTTTCCGTTTGCAGTGAAATGCTCTAACTACTGTGCCACCAGGGCTCCTGCCACCAAGATCCTTTGGACTCAAAGAGACCCTATTAGGGTTTGCCCCAGTTGTAAATCTTTACAGAAGCCTACCACCTCCTCTTTCTCCCGCGAAGTGGCAGGTGGGATTGAACAGAAAATCATGAGGTTAGCAATCTCATGCTTACCAGACAGCGCCACTAGAGCACTTACTTAAACAAGCTAGCTTTTATAACAGACGACCCTGGGGTCTAAGACCTAAGAGGCGGGGTCAGCTCGAATGCCACCTTCTCTCCTTAGCCCACCTGAACCAGCTTTGCCTGCTCCATCCTATGTCTGCAGCCCAGAGCAGGGTGGGAGCGCTGGAGGCGTTCTCTGACAGGGAGGGGCTGAACGGAATGTAGGGTGCTGATCGCAGAAACTCGGTGACGAAGTTTCATAAATGCCCCACCACCCATCGTGGAAGGACAGAGTCGAAGCGTCCTTCTGGACCCAGTTGTTTTACATTTACTATTATTAAAAAAAAAAAAAATAGCAACCGAGTCTTCACATAGACTCTTCAAAGGTGAGTGGGGGTGGGGGTGGGGAGCGTGCCTTCTCCATTACCGACTCCTGGTGTTGAATTGTGAGAAATAGTTCCCGGTGGGGTAATTTGTAAAGACTTCGTTCATCTCCTTTTTCCTGGTAGTAGAACAGAAAGGGGTGGGGGGGGGGGGTCAATACCACCGAACACTCATTCTGGCAAAATGGAGCCAGCAAACGTTTTCTTATACCAGTTGCTGTTAGGCGCCCTCGGGTGGCGTCCGCTGGCTCCCAGCGGCCCCCGAGGGACAGCGCTTGGCAGGCGGTCATCCTTACGGGTGCCCATCCGCGGGGCTCTCTCCTGGTGGGTGGGCTCTAGCCCGCAAGCTTTCGTGGCAGCCGAACTCGTAACCTTTATGCCACCAGAGAGCTCACGTAGCCCCGGGAGACGGAAGACGTCTCCACTGCAGTCTCCAAAAGGTCCCAAGACACTTTGTCCCTTCCCTCCCGTCTCCCTCAAAACCAGTCACTGCCACCCGGTCCGTTCTGACTCACAGCGGCCCTTGGGGCTATGAATCTTCTCTGGAGCATAAGAGAATCAATCACCTATTTCTCCGACAGAGTGATCAGTGGCCTTGAACTGCCCATCTTGTGATAACTGCTCAGCACTTACTACACAGCGCCACCAGGGCTCTGACGTCTTCCTGGGATCACCCCTAAATGCGCCTTTGAGGCCCCCACAGACCAACTGTGACCCAACTCTGGCCAGTGGACACCAGCTGGGAGAAAGGGCCCGCGGGTCCCTTCTGAGGACAAGCCTCAAGCTCGAGAAGTAGAGATCTCGTGGTCACCGGGCCAGTGCACACTCAGTGACCCCAAGTACGCACGTCACGTTCTTCAGTTACAAGGCCACCTACTAGATCATGCGCATTTGATGTTCCGGCTGGGGTCCGGACTTGGGGAGGAGGGTAACCCCAGGCTGGTCTTGACAACCCCTCCCTGGCACTGCGGGCTGGCACCGCCCCTCCTCCCGGGAAGCCCTCCAGCGCCCCGAGTGGCCAGCCGCACTCACTGCAGCTGCTGCTCGCCGGCCAAGCCGCGGTTGCTGCTGTCCAGCGCCCTATGGAGCTCGCGGAGCTGCCTCCGCTGTTGCCTCTCCTGCAGCAGGGTGGCCCGAGCCTTCTGCACGCGCTGCCGGTCCCAGTCCATGTTCCGCTGCCGCTCCTCTTCCTGGAGCCTCTACAGAGAACGGAGCTCGCTCACTACCTCCTTTTCCAGTTCAGGCCTCCCACTTTACAGACGGGAAACTGAGGCCGCAGAAGGGAGGTAGGGGACTAAGGTCATATGGGAAGCCACACTGCCCCTACCCTGTGTCCCTCAGAGGCCCATCTCCAACACCACCGGTGCTCCTGGCTCTGCCTGCACGCCACGCTCGGTTAGCGCATCCCACCTCTATGGGTACCCATGGCACCCACGCGCAAGCACAGTGGACTGCCGCTGCACCTGACAACCCAGGGGCAGGACCTCGGGACAGGCCCACTCCTGCACTGCCATGAAAGCCACTGCACCCTAATGGGTCCTTAGGTGGTGCCCAGGGCAGGAGTTGCCTTTAGGTATTGAATCCATTTTATCAGCCTTGTTGAATGTGAATGCCTTCATTAGCACATCTTCTGGACTGCTGTGAGGTAGTGGGTTCAAACCCAGCAGCAGCTCCTCAGAGAAAGAAGAGGCTGTCTGCTAGGTAAAGCATCTTATAAGTACTGGGGGGCAGTTCTACTCTGTCCTATCGGGTGGCTATCAGAACTGCCTTAATGGCAGTGGGTCTGGATCCCCGTTTCTCGAGGAAGCAGGGCCAGGGCGGCAGCTAACCCCCTCGTCCACAACTCAGGGACTCAGAGCAGGCCTTCTGGGAGTATCCAGTGGCCCTGCCAGCCTGTGTCAGCAAGAAGTGGGACAGTGTGGCAGAGGTCTGTCACTGAGGTGTGGGAAGGCAGGCTGGGGACTGGCTCTGCTGTGGCGTCCAGACCGCCAGTTTCCACATCTGGAAGCTGAGGCCAGGCCTGCGTCATCACATAGTGCTCTGGGCCTGGGAATGGATCGCTGAGGGGCCTGGTCTCATTTGTCCAGGTGATCTTCAAGCACGGAGAGCCCCTCCTTCGAGGCTCTGCTCAAAGCCCTGCTCTTGCCGGCTTTGCTTTGCACTGCACATTGCACAGGCGGCTGGTCTGCTCTTCCACCTCCGTGCACAAGCCCCGCCCCAAGACAACCCCAGCCCCAACCCTGAGCGCCAGGCAATGAGCACCAGCTTCTCCTGGATTTGCTGCTTCTGGGCCAGGCGGATCTGCGCCAACTGCTCCTGGGTCATGCCCTTCCAGCGGTCAGGGACCACGCGGTGGGGTCCGAAGGAGCTGGCCGCCTGCCGAGGGTTCTCCGAGAGCAGATCCCCGCGCAGCAGGTTGGTGATCTCAGCCAGATTGTCCTCTTGTTCTTGTTGTTTCTCGCGCTTTCTCCTGGCTGCTGATTCCAGAGCCTAAGCCAAAGGAGAAATCAGGGGAGACTCCAAAGGACCCCAAGGACAAACCTCCCTGGTAGCCCTGGAGGAAGAAGGGGGTTGGGTTAGGGTGGGAGGAATATAAGCCGTGTCGGCTAGTGGTCTTTATCTGCACAGATATCCAAAGCAAGGCGCTGAGCCTTCCTGGGTGGGCTCCTGGCCCCCCAGGCTTGGTCCCAGGCCTTGCCACTGTGGCCCCGTCAACCCCTGGACATCCCTGCACAGCAGAATGTGATGTGCCAGCAATGTCACTGATGCATGCGATCACAGATAAGCCCTCGCTCAGGCAAGGGGTGCCCCAGAAGAATGTGCAGGCAGAGAAGGTTGATGACAATGGCTTGGTTTGTGGTCCAGAGCTCTGGAGTGGGGGCTGGGTCTCGTTTGCTCCTGTAATGGCACCTTGCACTGTTTCTGGACGGGGTGGGGGGTGGGGGGACACCAAAGAAGCAAAGAAGGGTCAAGGGCATGAGTGTGTCCTGTTGCCAGACACAAAGCGGTACCTGGTTCCTGTTGAACTCCTTCACCATTGCGCACAACGCCTTCCTGGTGCCGCCCTCCAGCATCTGCAGGTGCTGAGCTGTGTTGTCCAGCTGCAGGCGAGTGTGCGTGTGCCGGGCCTCTGAAAGGGGGGCAGGGACCAGTGCTGGGTGGAGCAGAGGCTGGCGGGGAAGGGGGGATGCGAGTCGAAGTGGGAGCAGGGAGGCCAGCGAGTTGGTTGGCTCGCGTGGTCATTCATTTATGCAGCCTTGCAATGGCAGAGCGGGTGAAAAATAGGATTGCAGGTGATTTGCCGATGGCCTTAAGATGGCTTTTGGGAGAAGGGGTGCAGATGACTTGGGGCTGGGGGCTGGGTGACCAGAAGGTTGGACAGTCATGGTCGGAGGTTGGACAGTCAGCCCTGGGCTTGCTTTCCCTGACATGTCTGTGAGTCATTCGATAAGAGTCATGGTCCAGGGGCAGTGGGTCTATAGTCTGGGTTCCTGCTGCAGATGTTCACCGTTGAGAGGATGGCATGCAGCCAGGAGGCGAGAAGCAATTACCAAATGGGGTGAGGGGGGCTGTCAAGGGGGTTTAGTTGCTAGCAGAGCTGTCCAGGGAACCCTGGTGTCTACAGCATCTTGAGGTTCAGGACATGAACCAAGTTCAACTAAGGAGCCTGAGAGATGGGGGCAGGCCCAGGTGGTCCACATGAATGAAGTATTTCAAGGAGGAGGAAGTAGATAAGATGAAGACTCAGAACCCACCTTGGGTGGGACAACAGGGAGGTAGGTGACTGATGACCTTGACCAGATCTGGTGCAGAGGTTGGTGAGGGCACCAGTCTGGTGGGAGTGGGCTCCGAGGGGGATAAGAGGGGAAGCTTGGGGAGCAAGTGTAAGGAAAGAGGCCACCTGCAGGCACTGAAGCCCCAGCCCTTGGAGGCCAGGCTGAGAGGAGGGGAACAGACAGGCTGCAGGGGAGAGTCCCCCTGAGGGTCCAAGTGCATCCCTCCTGGCCTAGCTCCCGGCATCTCTTCCTCACGCTCCTCTTGACCGCTCCTCTTGACGGTGTCCTTGCTTGTCCATGAACTCCCTGAGGGCAAGAATTCAGCCCTGCTCACTGCTGGGCTTCCTGGCCATCTAGAAACTTCTCCCACAATGCCTGGGCCACTGCGTTGGACCTGGTTGTTTCCCGTTTGGTTTCCCCAGCGGACTTCGAACACTTCCAGGGCAGAGACTGATTCATTCAGTGTCACCTTGATGTTCTAGCACCCAGTGAGAGCCACAGCACAATTTGCATCCTCAGAGTTTCCGGTGGCGGGTGTCAATGTGTGGGCTACAGGAAACAGGTGCTGGGGTGCAGGGTGCGGGCATCTTCCCTCTCTCCACATGCCCAGGGCTTCAAAACCTTGGTAGCTTCCAGATGGAATACTCGCCTTCCAGGTGGGAGAGCCCAGTGTGACTCCCAGCCATCACCCCACCTGCCAGGGGAGCGTCCAAACTAAGGTGGCTAGGAAGAAAGGCCTGGAAGTCTAGCGCTGAAAACTACCCATGAAAACCCTATGGGTTACCATGCTCTCTGTTCACATGAATTAGGGGCCAACTCTACCACAGCTAACAACAAACAGCACCAAAAGACCCAGGGTTTAATTTCTTGACTATGCAAAGACTGAGCGTTCAGCTGTGTGGATCTTAACACTGAGAAGAAGAACACTTCGTTGTGCTCATGCAGAACCTGCACGTGGACCAAGAGGCAGTCGAATGAGCAGAACAAGGGGGTGCTGTGGGGCTTAAAGTAAGGAATCTGAGCTGTATCGTTTTATCATTCTTATTTGATCGGTATGCTGAGGGAGTAATCTGAGACGCTGGACTGTATGAAGAACCTAGGAGTCCTGTTGGCGTGGTGGTTATGCATTGGGCTGTGTGCAGGCTGAAAGGTCAGCAGTTCAAAACCACCAGCCGATGAAGCACATGGCATCAGGGTCGAGAAAAGGCTTATTAACAGCCTGGGGTGTGCAACAGACACAGCCTTGCTTGCTGAAAGCAAAGAGGACTTGAAGCGCTGGCGGGGGATTATCAAAGGCTGCAGCCGTCAATGATTTACAGCTCATTACAAAGGAAACAACATCTTCACAGCAGGACCAATAAGCAATTGAACTATCAGGGATTCCCTTTCACTCGGATCCATAAACGTGCCTGGGAAGCAGCTGCTGAGGAATCAAGCAACTCGTCGCGTTGGTGGAGCTGCTGTAAACACCTTCACAGCAAAGATGCCACTTTGAAGATGAGGCTGACCCTGACCCTCACTGTGGGAGCAGCGTCTTCAGGTGAGCTCTCAGAGAGGAATACGCATCAAAGTCTCTGAACGCGGAGATACTGGTACTAAATTCTCTGAACTCAGAGAACCTGGAGCAGAATGCTGTCCCGGGCTTCTGAGTCAGAGTGTATTAACTGGACCGTATGAGCCTCATTTCCTCTCCAAGTCAGACAGGGCCACTGTATTCCACGGTTTAGCCAAAGCCTGTGGGAAGGAGCAGATTGCTCAACCCTAAGGCACTGTATGGTCTGACCTTTCACAAAGATACACTTTCCTGTTCCCTAGGAAATGGTTGAAACACAGCATTCTGTGGGTTTTCCGTTATACTCCCTCCCCAGTTTTGGCTTTATCTTCCTCTCCAGACTACAGATCAACTGGATGAAATACTATTGCTTCTTTGTTTGCCTTCAAAGAAATTGTCAACAAACCGTTTGTGTGAGAACTTGTCACAGTATGCAGGATACTATATATAAATAAGACTGTGTACGACAAGAACTGTGTATAAACCTGCCTCAAATAAAGTTCTGGGCCCTGGAGTCCCTTCTCCTGGTACCTCCTATGCCCCAACTGTGCCTTATCTTTTATCTATCTTTCTCAATTGCAACCATGCCCCTCTCGAACCCTTGTTTGATTTGTGAGAGCGGGGTTCTCACACCCTAACAAACTACATATTTTCAGGCTCCTCTTATGCCTGTGAAAGCTGGCCAATGAATAAGGAAAGAGAAAAGAGGACTCAATGCCTTTGAATTGTGGTATTAGCAAAGAATGTCAAATATACTACAGCCGGCCGGAGAATGGACCAATCTGCCATGGAAGAAGTACACCAGAATGCTCCTTCGAACAGGGTGAGACTTCAACTCATGCGCTTTGGACATGTCAGAAGAGACCAGTCCCTGGAGAAGGACATCATGCCTGATAAAGCAGAGGGTCAGCCAAAAAGAGGAAGACCCTTGTTGAGATAGCTGGACACAGCAATGCAACAATGAATGGGCTCAAACTTGGCTCAAACACGGTTATGGGGGTGGTACAGGGCTGGGCAGTGTTTCGTTCTGCTGTACCCCGGGAGCTGTGAGTCCGAGTTGACATGAGTGCTCCTGACAACAACAACAACCAGACTTGCAACCAGACTTGCTTGCCCGTTACCTGCAGAATTGTGGTCAGCACGAGCATTCTTCCACTCCCTCTGTTGTTGCAAGGACCACTCTCGGTTTTGTTCTTCTTGGAGTTTCTTCCGTGTGTGGTAGTTGAGATCCTCGCCCAGGAACTTCTGCATCCCTGATATTGAATTGCGCGCATCATTGTCTGACAGCCGGGCTGGGAGATCCTTCCTCAAGGCCAGTGGGTCAGACAGGTCAAATTCACGGCGTGATTCTGGCAGCTGAGAACTCTGCTGGAAGTTGTTGATAGCTCGACAGAGATTCCTCCTATCTCTCCTCTCCCGGTTTTCCAGTATACACATGATTTTATCATTTTGCCTCATTTCAGCAGCTAGAAGAAATGAAGTACAGCAAAAGCTCAGAAGAGAAAATAAATTTAAGTCCACTTCAAAGTGTTGGTTTTTTTTAATGACTGTGAAAGTAATAACCCAAATATCCACTGCTATGGAGTTGCTTCTGACTCCTGGAGATCCTGGATAGGGTTCCCAAGGCTGTAAATTTTATGAGAGCAGCCAGCTGCATCTGTCTCCCACAGATCAGCTGGAGGCGGGGTGGGGGTGGTGTTGAACTGCTACCCTTGTGGTCAGTAGCCCATGGTGTCCTGGACAGTGTCACTAGGGCTCCTGCAAAGGGTAACTCAAAACTCACTGCCATTGAGTTGACCCCAACTCAGGGTGACCTCATAGAGCAAATTAGAACCGCCCTAGGTGGTTTCTGAAACTGTAACTCTTTAAGGGAGTAGAAAGCCTCATTTTTCTCCTGCAAAGTGGCTGGTGGTTTTGAACTGCTGACTTTGTTCTTAGCAGTCCAAAGCTTGTCTGACAGTGCCACCAGGCTCCTTCTACAAAGGATCCAAATGCAAACAAACTCACTGCCATCGAGTCTATTCCGACTCATAGCGACTCTACAGGACAGGGTAGAACTGCTCCTGTGAGTTTCTGAGACCGTCCATCTTTACAGGATGAGAAAGCCTCGTCTTTCTCCAGAGGGGTGGCTGGTGGTTTTACACTGCTGGCCTTGCAGTCAGCAGCCCACCACGTAACCACCATGCCAGGACGGGACCGGCAAACCACTCCAAAGAAACCTGAACGATCAATAAACTTATAAAATGATCCATCAGCCTGACCTGAGTCAGAATTGACTCAACAGCAGCGGGTCTAGATTATATGTGGACCATGGATTCATTTCAAAATGTGTTGAATGGGAAAAAACAACAACACATGTTGCCAAAGGATCTGTTCAATAGGTTAGCATTTATGTCAATATTGCAAGGGAACAAATGGACTTCCAGAAGTTATTATGACAATATATGCCAAAAACCCAAGCCAAACCCACTGTCATTGAGTTGATTCCAACTCATAGTCACCCTACAGGGCAGATTAGAATGGCTCCTTGGGGTTTCAGAGGCTGTGGTAGTTACATAATCTGGTGTCAACTTGAGACTATTAAGAGTGAAGGGGTGGAGTCTAGCCTGCCAATCAGGTTGCAGCTTGATGACCTCGTTTGGAGGTGCAACAGAGATAAATCGCTCACTAGAGACCAGACACACACTCGCTTCATGTAAGACATTCCTGTTGACAAGCCACATGGAGCTACACTGATGGGGCCAGAGCCCTGGAGTTGGAGGAAGAGCCACATGGAGACCCACACCAGTGCTGAGATGCTTCCACTGCCACTGAATCCACCCACTGGCCTGTGATCTTCCTGAATTCGGTGTCATTGCATGGCTGCATGAGTCTAAAAGATGTAATTATGGACTAGTATCAATATATGGGGTAATATTGGACTTAGGGACTTGATCTGGACTGGGCTGGGATTTTTTTTAATGTACAATTGCTCTTTGATATAAAGTTCTCTCTGAGTATCTGTGAATTTGCTTCTCTAGTCAACCCAGGCTAACACAGAGGCTCTAAATCTTTATGGGAGTGGAAAGCCTCCTCTCTCCTGTGGAGCAGATGGTGGGTTCAAACTGCTGACCTTGCAGTTAGCAGCCCAACACATAACCCACTATGCCACTGGGGCTCCTTTGGGTGTGTATGAGTATATCAGACGTACAACAAACGTGCTTGGCAATGATGCACAGCTCTTTAGAAGGAGGAAGAGGAAAATGAGGTAGGGGAGCTTGAGCTGTAGGCAGGGACCTCAGAAAGTCCTTGGGAAAATCTCCTTTGCTGAAGAGTTTTTAAAAATGGGGATGTGGGGGGCCGGACACAGAGCAAGCTATTGAGAAATATGATAAGTTGTTTTAAATTCTTGAATATATAAAAAAGGATGAACTGAAAGCTAAGCCCCATCTAATTCATAATAAAAACTTTAAGAAAAGAAAAAATTCCCATGATCTTTTCATTCCATTTTCTCCAGGAATTTTTTTAACTCGCTGCCATTGAGTCAACTCTAACTCAGTAGCAACCCTATAGGACAGAGTAGAACTGTCATGGTGGATTTCCAAAACTGTAACTCTTCATGGGGATAGAAAGCCTTTTTCTCTCAGGGATCTGACTGGTGGTTTCAAACTGCTAACCTTCTGGTTAGCAGCCCAATGTGTAACCACTACACCCCCAGGGCTCAGCTATAGACAGCCGTCTCTATGGAGACATATATACCAGTTCTCACTGAATCAACTCCCAACTCGCGTGTCAGAACAGAGGTGTGCTCCACAGGTTTCCAGTGTCTGGTTTCTCGAAGTTCACTGCCATGCCTTTCTTCCTAGGCACTCCTGTGGAGACCAAAAGTGCCAGCCTGCCTGGAGGTTAGTAGCTGAGCACGATAACTGTTTGCACCATCCAGAGATATATCGATATGTGTGTGTATATAAAATAAAATGCTTACTTTTCTTTGCCTTTTTTTTAAGCCTGTAAATAGTCCAAGGTCTGTTTGTTGACCTTTAGGAGTGTTTTCCAGTTGAGTCTGATGGAGTGCCACACCCTGGCCCCAAAATCTATTTTTGGTACTCCCGTGGGACTTCTTTGCTCTGCTCCCCTTGCTCTTCTGTTGCACGCCCTTAGTGTTTAGCCTAGGTGTGGTGGGGTCAGATCGGGAGCAATTCCCACACGGTGTCTCCGTGTTGTCCCCGGTAGGGTTATGGGTCAGTGAGGGATGTCATGTCTCATAATGGGGCCGGCCATATGGTCCTCTCTGTGCACTGGATGCTCTGAGCAGGGATATCGTCCTCAAGGCTC